GAACTAGTGTACAACTAAAAAATGCATTTTATAAGTTTCAAATTCCTTCAACCAATACTTCTAACATGAGTAGATTTTTTTCTCCAAATATGTATTTTATACGTTTCAAATTCCTTCAACCAATACTTCTAACATGAGTAAATTTTTTTCCCCAAGACTCAATAGCTTGCCAAGCAGAAAATTGCTACTAAATTTACAAAATGTAGATTAATGAAGATAAACACCAACCAGAGTAGTCAATCCAGGATAGCGGTGCGGAGCAGTCGGCCCTAAAAGTGGGATAGCGGGATGAAATCTGAAGAACGGACTCTGACACGGACACCGAGACACAATACGGACACTCCAGATACTAATAATCTCAAAAACATAGGACACCAACACTGCTACATATATGACATTATTTGACTCTCATTTATCCATCTATTATTAAAAGAGTTACAAATATTCTAATCAAAATTAATCTCTTCAATTCTTCATTGATAACATTGTTTCAATACATGTTTAACCCTATTATGTGTATGAGATCTGTCCAAAAATGTACAAGGTGTGTTGAAGCAAAGAATAAAACAAAGGGTAATGCTAAATTGTACCCTTGTAAATAGAGAAATGTTATATTGGAAATTGTGCAATAACATTAATAAAAATATATTGTTAAATTTTTTATTACTTTTTTTAATAAAAACTTTCCATAAATGGGTTTTTTAACTTGTGCCCCAAGGGCACAAGTTAGCATTACCCTAAAACAAATTTTTTTGAAACACTTATCTAAATTGTAGATTGTCCGACAAATGTTGTATGAGTGTCATATGGGTGTCGGACACTGATTCAAAAAGTGTCAAAGCAAAGGAAAAACAATTTTTTGAAAACACTTGTCTAACTTTTTCGACACGTGTTGTACATGTGTCATACAAATGTCGGACACTGACACTTGTCGAACACCGCAACACGCTTGCTCCTAGAGGTGTCCGTGCTTCACCGTGTATTTGATCATTCTTTGAAACCATAGCAACCATCATTCAAGTTAAAAAGTCCTCCAACATATACTTGGACTATTACACAATATCATGAAACCCCTACTTAGGCACTTTCAAACTCGGTTAGATTTTAATGCTTAGCAAACCTTCACTAAAATCAGAAATAAGAAATGAAGCCTAACTCATCAGTGACTCTAGAAAAATTCAAATTCACTCGGTTAGGAGTAAGTTAGAGGGATCTGGATTATCCTACTGGTAGAGGAGAAAAGTCACTTCCGTTAACTAACAAGTTTAATTCAAGTTGAGAATCAAAGGTGTGAAGTTTCAGATTCATAACTAGAACTATATAAGTTCAAATATTGATATAACATAGTATCTTAGTAGGTTCAAAAATTGAAATATAACTACATAAGTTCTCAAGTAACCCTGATTTAGTCTTTTATCCTGCTACCATTTGTTTTTAAACATCAGCACAACAACTATTATTCTGTTCTAGTTAAGAGACCAATGGAGAATATTTCATTTGCAGAAGCAGAAGAGTAAAGGTTTTGGTGGAAGACTCAAGAACTTCAATGCGATCTTGAACTACATCAATTCATCCAAAAGTCTACAATAACACCAAGCCTTATCCGACTAAGTGGGATTGGCTACATGAATCAACTTTCACCGTAATGTTATATCCAAGACCATTCTTAATTCATCCAAAAGTATAAGAGAAGTATAAGCATCAACATTTGTATTAATGTTAAAAAAGAGAAGACAAAATATGGAGATATTAGATTCTAATCTTGTGAATGGTAAAATCTCATAAAATTACTATAGAGATCTCATGTATTAAGTGTACTCTAAAAACCTCCATCCTTGGCAATATTGTTTAACCCGGCACCTTTGAATTACATAGATGAAAGCAACATTAAAACACAATTTTATTAATCACATTATGTTTTATATTTCAATACTGGAAAGGGGCGTCATCAGCTCATAATCAAGAACCTCACACTTCTTAACACGTGAAAAGTGTTCTAAAATCTTCTTTTTTCCGAAACCTGGCTCTTGGATGTACACTTGGTACCTCGGAGACTGACTTTTGGATATGGCTTTGATCGTCTTAGGGTTACTGGCATCAAAACTGTCTCCTCTCATCAGTTTTGAGGTGCCTAAGAATAAATAGTTATACAGGCATATTTGCATAGGCTTCCTGTTTGCTCTGCATAATGCAGGATGTGTATAAACATATATACACAAGAAAGGAGCAAATAATGTTTGTTAAAGAAAATAGAACTTTTTGTACTGATTATTGTGATATAGACCAGTGATGTAGTATGAGACAGATTGTTGGGCATTATGATATTACCCTAAATTTTTTAAGGACGGCAAGGTTATTTTATTGAATTTTATTGTCATTTGCAAGTATGTTTGCTCAAGAGTTATGACTTCTATTTCTAAATACAAATACTTCATAAATTTGGATAAATTTATTTTAGTTTTTAACAATTATGTGTTCATTAGTATTAACTGTAGTAGTGTCCGCGTCCCTAAAATATCGGTCATTCTGATCCCCGCTTCTGTTCCGTTCCATTTTCATAACGATTCTTCTCCATCACCGAACAATAATGAACTCAATCTAAAATGAAGAAACAAGTAAAATCCAAATTTGCAAGGGAATTCACTTACCTGCCATCATATACGGCATCGAAAACAAACGAAACTAGATGGTGATCAGGGTTCTGCTCATCAACTTCAAGGCGCAAAGTATCTTTATGAACATTGACATGATTCCTAATCTTCTTAGCAGTTTGGTGATCAACATACGGAGGCGGTGTGGATGAAGAAGGCAAAGGAAGAGGAGGAGGTGGACCCCAGGCATGTTGATTTACATAGTAAGAAGGATGGAACATAACACGAGGGTTGGCGTAGTTGATGTTTGAATTAGGGTTAGAAAAGTAAAATGAATGGGTCTGAGGTTGAAGAGAAGGAGGAGGAGGAGGAGGATGGGGAGTGGCATAGCCGGTGGTGGTTGAGGGATAATAGTAACCTTGCTGGTGAGGCGGTGGTGGCGGTGGTGGATGTGATTCAGTAGAGTAATAATAATGAGGTGGTGGTGGTGGCGGAGGTGGAAGTGAGGGTGGTTGTTGAGGTGGGTTGTGAATGAAATTGTTTCTTCTTCTACTACTGCTCCACGAAATACCCATACGAGTGTGATGAGGTTAAGAAAATAACAAGATGCGGTGGTGGGTGAGAAATCGCGGTGGTGGAGTACCCTAGTCTTTTTTTTTTCTTCGGTTTTTCTTTGTTTCTATGGTAAAAGCGCGTATGTATTGTATCTTGTCGTATTTTGCCTTTATTGAGTTTCCTTACACAACAGGCTACCAACTTCAAACAAATCTATTTATTTATTTGTTATTATTTTTATTTTATTTATCCTCTAAATTATAATATTTGACTTAAATAATACTTGTGATGTCATAATAAAGTTGACATTTTATATATTCAAAAATAAATTAATTTCGTTAAAAAAATTATGTAGATCAAAAAGTATTATTTACTTTTCTATTTATAAAAAATTATTTTTTAAATTAATATTCATTATTAAATAAATTTAAAAAACACAGTTTTTATAAATAAAATTAGAGATAGTATTTATTTAAAAAATTCTTGACAAAAACTTCTTATTCTTGTAAAAACACAAATTTGTCATTTTTACGATTAAATAGATCTATAAAAATCTCCTAAATCTTTTTCATTTAAAAAAATTAACATGACTTAAATCGAGGACATATATTCATGTTGATAGGTTTGATCCATATAATTTTTTTATTCCAATATTTATTATTAATTCTAGTTTTAATATCAATGTTAAATTAAAGAATATATATTTAAAAAATTAAGTATTTTTTTGTTTGATAGATATTCATTTTTTAAAACTATTTGTAACATCAAAAATCTAATAAAACTAATTTCTTTTTCTCAATTTGATGCATGAAAATAATATAAAATGAAGGATTTAGATCATATTCAAAATTAACTTTAAAAAAAAATTATAATCAAACCTAATTTCAACCAATAATTTTTTTAAATTAAAGATAATGCATAATAATATTTTGAAAATAAAAAAATATATATATGCAATTTTATGGTACATGTTCTTCCTTGATTGACATATTCTTTTTTCTCTAATTTTTTAGAAATAGTAGGTTTTTATACCACTAAAATTATATCCATAAATAAGAATGATATGGTTATATTTTTTAACACTTTTTTTCCACGTTTTAAAACTTTTATGTGACTAAAAATATATTTTTAAACCACGAAATGTTTGTACTCAATTTTCTTACTTTACGCGTTGCAAAAAAATAGACTCAAGCGAAATCGCGCAACTTCGATCCGATTCCACCGTACTGTGTCTTTCTCCAACCACCATCCATCGCCGATCGTGCCCGCCGTAGACTCCGGTAAACCTAATTTCGCCACTCTCATCTGCAGTATTTCCTTTTCTTTCTTAGTTCCCTGATCTGTTGCAACTGAATTGATTCAATCGAATTGCCACTGTTTCCGATGGTACCACTTTCTGATTCGTTTCTTTCATCATTTACACTGTTTTCTACCTCTATCTCACATGTATATGGAAATTCGCGATTCATATCTCAGTATTTGTATCATGCATGTAGGTATAGTTAGGTATGTTAATGTTTGAATGAAGTGACATTAAGATCTAGCGGAGCATTGATCGATGCTTCTAGCGATTAAGAAATTACTTGACAGTTGGAAAATGAGAGAAAAATAAATTTGTTTTGTTGTGATAATGTTTTCCGATCTGATGTAACTTTTAAATTGAAATTAGTATGGTTCTAATTAGAGGCAGTCTCGTTCAAGAAAATTACCGATTTTATTCGGTTTTTTGTACAGGAATTATGTATGCCGATGAAATTGTGAATCCATGAATAGTGCTCGAGCTTTTGAGTAATATGGCATGAGCTTCATGTTCTTCTATCCTTAGAAGGTTTAGCTAACATAAACAGGATAAGGATGTTTTCATTATTTTATGGACTTTGGCAGTACATGTTCAGCAAGTTAGAACTTCATGTACTCATTTTAGGGATTGACAAGGCTGGCAAAACGGTAAAACATTTTTTAGTCCTGTAATTGATAAGAAATTGCTGAGCTTTGTTGTGTGGCTCTGAATTGCTATATAATGAATATTTTTGTAGACTTTGCTTGAGAAGATGAAGTCAGTGTACACGAATGTAGAAGGTCTTCCTCCAGATCGAATTGTTCCAACTGTGGGATTGAACATTGGTCGTATTGAAGTGGCAAATAGAAAGCTTGTGTTCTGGGACCTAGGAGGCCAGGTATCTCAGAAATAGATAGGCAATACTTATGTTTGTAAATTCTATGAATATGATATTAGGATGAATTGTTAATTTGATTTGGCAAAATTATTTTGTTCACCGACTCTAGCTTTATGAGCTGCTTGTCAAAATCATTTCGGTCTAGAACTTTGATAGCTAATATGTTTAACATCTACATAGTTCTTGAGGTTTAATTTTGTATGCTTTATAATATCAAAATGCAACTACTCCACTAAACTAACTGTTTTTTTATGGCACTAAACTATTTGTTATATGTTTGATATTTTATATTCAACATATTAGAACGGTTACTTTATTTATGGTTACTTATAAGAACTGCTAATTAAACTATGTGATTTGGACTATCAATTTTACCCTTTTTATGACTGAAACTTGAGTTTAGTGTTTCAGTTGGCAATGCTGAAGGAAATTTTGTAATTGAAAAATTAGTCTAATATGCATGGACAATTGATTGAGTACTTCATTTTTAACTTAAGCCTAGCAGGAATAGTGTATCATTTGATGCAAATGTCATACTTGACCCTATGTATACTGATCATGCTATCATTCTGTCCATTTTCATATAATAAGATGTTAATTTAATTTCCCCACTTATCAGCTTGGTCTTCGCTCAATCTGGGAGAAATATTATGAAGAGGCACACGCCGTAGTATTTGTTGTAGATGCATCATGTCCCTCACGATTTGAAGATTCAAAGTCTGCACTTGGTTAGTGAGACTTGATTTTAGTATTTGTAAATTACTAAATATATATTTCTTTAAGAAGTTGGCTTGCAGTTGCAATAGTGCTAGATATGGCGAAACTTTCAACATATCTAGTACTATTACTCAAAACCAAACAGCACTGTGATAAGTTAATAACTGATTTATTTACCAGAAAAGGTACTTCGACATGAGGATCTCAAAGGAGCCCCTCTTTTGATTTTAGCAAACAAGCAAGTGAGTGTACCTATTCTCTTCCTGACATATAAAACAACTGTTTGGTTTCCTCATTTTTTTGCCCTCTTCGGTTTGTGTATCAACACAGTGATGGCAGCATGCTTGACATTCTTTTTATTGCAGGATCTTCCTGAAGCAGTATCATCTGAAGAACTTGCTCGGTATCTAGATTTAAAGAAGCTGGATGAAAGAGTTTACATGTTTGAAGCTGTGTCAGCATATGATGGGTAAGTGAGAGAGGTTGTATAAACTTTTCAAATCTCAACCTGTGATGATCCATTTCCATTTTATTTTCAATAAGGGTCGAGATATCTGATGTAAGGGAAAAATAACCATCAAGCCAAGCTAGTACATAATAAAGTGCTTGCTGAATGGACTTCTTTTATGTGTATATGTTACTTGAGGGTATCAGAGTTAGTTAGTCTCCTAGTTTGTTACTATTAATTAATGGGTGGTAGGTGAAATAAGACACATTGCCTATGAACAATAAATTGGATTGAAATGGGCAGCTAGGCATTTGAGTGAATTGGGCCTTTTGGGCATTGGGAGGGCACGGACCCTTGAAGTTCTGTGTTATTGTTCTGTAGTCTAGGGGATTCTTCCCTATTTCTTTATATCACAATTTTAGTTCTTATCACTTTCCTTTGAGATGTTGCAGGCTGGGGATCAGGGAAAGTGCAGAATGGCTAGTGGAAGTGATGGAGAGAAGCAAGAGGACTGAAATGTTGAGATTGCGGGCAGGTGCAATGGGTCCAGGTTCTGCCTAGAGGTCGTGACATTAGCTTAAAAGAGACTACTCCATTCATTTATAGCTATGTATATCAAAATTTGAAAGTAAATGATTACAAGTCATTACGATGAAAAAGGAGACAAACAACTTGGTGTTACATTAAACTGAGGCTTGAAATTTAGTCATACTTTAATTTGTAATACAGCTGTTTCGTTCGAGGCTCAGGCTCCAGTATCTCATACAGCAAGTTTTCTTCAGACATGCCCTATATGATCAATCTGTCAAGTATTTGGGCTGGAGGGTTTTCTGCTTCTGCCTCCTTGCACCCTTTTGTCAATTTGAGATTTAAATTTCCTATTTTTGAATAAATTTAATTTACTTTCCTTTCTGTAGTAAATGGACATTGCACTGCCATACAGATCCACGTAGTAATGTAGCATTGTGTAAAATACAAGTCATGAAGCAGATAAACATGGGCGTAGCTGAACTTTTAAAAAGGAGTATGATTGGAGGAGCTACATATGTTTGATTATTTTGTTGGTAAAAAAGATTGATTTCCATGTATGCTTGAGGGGGAAAAATTACATATAGTTTAACCCTCTATCAAAAGTAACTATAGAACAGTCTGTAAAAGCAGTGTCTGAAATTACATATAGTTTAACCCTCTATCAAAAGTAACTATAGTTTAACCCTTTATCTCGATTTTGTTGGATTCCTAAAAACATGGAAATATAGGGAGATTTATTTATAACTTTGTTTTATAGATTTGTTTATAATTTTAAAAGAGTAATAGCAGAACAATCTCAGCAGAGATACTCTTAGAGAGAGACACTCTCCTTAACTATATCTCTCTCCATCATTTCTCTCATGTTTTCTTTACTCTTTTTTATCTTAGTTTTTTTTTTTTTTTTTGCACGGGCTACATTGTTGGGAAAAAACGTTGCAGAAGATAAGAGATGAATTGGGCTTTAAGTTCATCTAATTTTCTAATTCATTTGCAAAAATGATGATATGATGGGAGGTATTGATAATGTTAAGGATCTCTTGGATTTTAACTACCTTCCCTCCAAAACGTAACTAATAGTAATACTGGGTTACAAGTGGTGCAGGAGTTGGACAGTTGGTGAAGGTTTGGCAGGGGTTGGATGGTTGGTGAGAGTTTGAGACGTATTGTTCTCAAGTTTGAATTTTTTTTTAGGTGTTAAAAATTTTTGTGTTAATTTTGCTATGATTTTAAATGGGTCTTTGCTAATGGAAGGTGAGATTCGTCCATCTGAATTCGCTAGTGGATGCTGAGATTCGTCCATTTGGACTAGTTAGTCGCCAATGTCGGATATCTATTTTTAAAAAAAAATTACAAAAATTGCATGTTAGTCAACAGTGCGTGGGTGTTTGAGAAGTATGAAACTAACTTGTCAAGCTCTAGTGCCTTACTAGGATAATTTAGGAATTCCAGTTAGGAAAGTCATGGACATGTCTTCCAAAACAACATCAAGAATGGGAAGTGATTGTATTATTAGCAACCAGCAGTATAACTAGAATCCTAGATCAGTAATCACATTCATCATCTTAGATCCATATAATTAGATCAAGATTATCTACCTAGAATCAAAGCAGGCTCTGAGAGTTCATTCAGAAAAAGCTACCATTTACCTGATCTGCATTTATATCAGTCTAATAGGTCTATAAACAACACAAGCTTAATACATCATCAATTGGTCAAAAGATATAATTATTTAATAATTCAAAACATATTCTAAATAATTAATGTTAATCCATCTAATTACATGTGGCCTTTATTATATCTCTAAGAAAATCCATACAATAAAACAATCAAACATTACAACAGATAGGTATGTTCTGCAATTTATAACACACCCAACAAAAGAAAACACAAAAACAAGAAACGAAGCTGTTATCTCCCATCCATAACAAACAATGTAGACTAGATAGAACCACATTCAAACTCAGCATAAATCAGGTCTAGTTCTCTTACAAACCGAAATGCAACCTTTGTGTTGATCCCTCAAGATCCTAATCTCACAACACTCCCTCAAATCCTCAAGACTCACATACTGTTGCTTCACCATCCTCAAAGAATCACCCCCTACATCATGAATCCATATATAAGGCTGACAAGTCTCATCATAGTAATACAACAAACTCTTCATTCCCATATCATTGCTTCCACTTCTCCCTGGCATATAAGCCTTATATATGCCTTTACTTTTCACTCTCTTGGAACACCCTGGCTTCAAAATATGAACCTTCTTCAGTATTGATCCTACCCTTATCTGCAACTCCACTGGCCTATCACTGAGGTTACAAATCCTTGTCCCTAATCCATGTTGAGTCTGATCATAGCAGCTATCAAAGCAACCACCAAATGATAGAAGACTCAAACCTCTCATTTTCTCCATCATAGACTCTATCTGCTTCTTAGTCATCTTAATGTTCCCACAAAAGCTTGTGATATAGAAGCTTCATTTATATATCTATATATACAAGTCTCTTCAAGTCATTCATGTCCTTGTAATAAAGATGAGTTCTTTGACAACTTTTGTCAATAAGAATTAATATTATATGAGTTTAAATTATTTAATTATTATGTACCAATCATATCTTATCACATATGTATGTATTATGGATTTTTTTGAATAATATTTATGATATAGTAGTAGGATGAATATGGTTCTAATTTATAGTATAAATATAAAGTATTATTAAAATGCATCTAATTGTGAGAGACAAATGACTGTAAGGTGCGAATTGGAACATGCAATATTTCATTTATTTATTTTAATCATTAGAAAAAAAAAATCATTCAAATGCAGATCTTTATCATTTTTTTTTATAAATTTTAATAAATTGCTTGTATAGAATTTTTTAAATCAAATTATAAATACAAAATATTGTTATTAAACTCTTTTTTTTTTTTTATAAATAATTTGAACTCTTTCTTGTGGGTCACTCTAGTGGTTGGTAAGTGTTTTCTGCTGTTGTGTGATGATAAAGAAAATAAAACAAATTATGTAGAGACGTGCACTTGAGAAGCCTCACTATAATAGAATAATTCTTTTCCCTTCCATTAAGGAAATGGTAGGGCCTAATGAACTCTCAAGTTTCAATACAAGAAAACAGTGGAAAAGTTTACCTACACTGACAAAAATTAAAAAAAATCTTAAGAAAATGGATTTTCCTTTGATTCTTTGGGGTAGGAAAAGATATGGCAACCCATATAAAAGGATTCACATATTCATGATGAGGAACCATATGATGTTGCCTCACCTTTTATTCAATTCAAGTTTCAAAATAAATAACTTTCCACTCCAATCAGAAACGATTTCCTTTTCCTATTCTAAGCATTGAGCTCCAAAACTTTTTGGACTATACTTCATAGTTAATGTTATTGAAATATAATGAGCTAGTTTGGAACAAATCAGAGAATATGATGGTTAAAATTACAATAATATGATCATTATTTATATATACATTTTTTTAATTTATTAGATTTTTAATGACAAATATAATATATTATAAAAGGAAAAATTAACGCCATATAACAAAATATTTACAAAGCACAAATGTTTGAAAATAACAAAAACTAAAAAAATATAAGACATAAAATACAAACAAAAAACCACAAGAACTACCCAAATGAGCAAATAATGATGTGACCATCCAGGAGCAAACAACAACTACAAAAGAACTACCTTGTTATTCACAGTTTAGATCTCAAACCAATCTAATCGACCATCAACATATCATATCTCTTAAAAAGAATAATAAAAGATCCATCACCACACTCTAAAACAAGACAAACACTCAATCTGCTATAGGTGAAAGTAGAGAATATGATTTTGAAGTTAATTTGAAAAGGTGTAGGAGTTCACCCAATATTTACCCTAAAACAATTTTCAAAAAAAAAAAATAGTCTTCTCCTCCAGATAGACGAGACCACAACATGGCAAACCATAAGATAATCACCCCTAAACTTAAATTTTCTCTATAAGAAAAGAAAATACTATAATAATGCCCTAAGATCCTGATGAATAACTACCTGTTACTTCATCCACTTTAAAACAATGGTATTTGGATTGAACTCTAGCCTCGACAAGTTTAGCTTCATGGTTCGACAAGTAGTCGAAGATGTGCATGCCGTAGTCGAAGTCTGTTCTTGCATGTAGAAATATGTTAGCTTGTTGTTTAAGTTAGCATGTTGGGTTATGCCAGTCTGTTGGGTCAATTGTTTAGTATGTTAGTTGAAAGTTAGGGTTTAGTTTTCCTATAAATAACATATTAGTTCTCACTTCTCATTCAATTCCTGATAATTGTAATCAGAGGGATAAAGTGGTGTGGTTTAGATCTAATTGTAAACATTGTTCCCTAATGTGTAATTGAATCAAGAATTCAATATTTAACCACTTTGAATTGTTTTTCTATTCTCTTCTATCTTTTCCTTTACTTTGTAGTTTTCTTGTTAATCAAGAAACCGGTCATACTCTATTTTCTTGAAGGTGTGTAGAGCAAACTCGAGGGTTTGTATATGACCAAATTCTTGGTCAATCGTCTGTACCTGCAGCAAGACTTGTATTCATTCAAGATGAGTGAAGAAAAAGTCTTGGCTGAGTAGCTGGATATGTTCAACAAGTTGATTCTTGATCTTGAAAATATCGAGGTCAAGATTGATGATGAAGATCAAGCGTTGATGTTGTTATGTGCTTTAACGAGATCTCATGCTCACTTCAAAGAAACTCTTTGTATGGAAGATATCAGCTTTGTACTCGAAGGACCTGAATGAAAGAAAGAAGCAAAAATCATTTTCTATTGGTGAAGGATTGTCTGTAAAAGGAAAATTCACAAAGAAAGATGGTAGGTTAAAGAAGAAGAAAGGTAAACTTCTACATAATTTTTATGGTGGTAATGCTTCTGCAATTAAGTGTTATCATTGTAAGAAGGATGGTCATACAAGAAAGGTGCACCCTAAAAATTTGAATAATCATGGTAGAAAGGATAATGGTAATGCAACCATTATGCAAGATGATTATGAATCATTTGATGTCCTGGTGATTTCAAGAAGTGACTTTGCGAAGGAGTGGATTATGGATTCATGGTGTACATGACACATGACTCCAAACAAAGACGTGTTTGAGGAATTATGTGATCAAGATGGTGCATCAATGATGTTGGGAAACAACAAAGCCTGCAAGATTGCATGTATTGGATCTGTTAGATTCAAGATCCATGATGAGTTAATAAGGATATTGACTGATGATAGATATGTACCTGAACTTAAGAGAAATTTGATTTCTCTTGGTGAATTCAATAAGAAAGGATATATTTTCAAAGGAGAGAAAAGTATCCTTAGGGTAATGCAAGGGTTGAAGGAAGTCTTAAAAGGCATCAGGAGGCAAGACCTATATACCCTTGAGGATGATGTTGAAAGTGGTTTAACAGATGTGGCATCCAGAAAACCTGTGTCGAAGACTGAGCTGTGGCACAAGCAACTTGGTTATGTCATTGAAAAAGGCCTGGTCGAATTACCAAAACAAAATCTGTTATATGGTGACAAGGTCAAAAAACTAGAGTTTTGTGAACCTTGTATAATTAGTAAACCATGTAGGGTGAAGTTTAACAAAGGTAAACAAAAAACACACGGGTCCCTTGATTATATCCATGTTGATCTTTGGGGGCCTGCAAGAAATCCTTCACACTCAGGTGTAAGATATTTGTTATCCATAGTTGATGATTACTTACAAAAGTTGTGGGTTTCATTCAGAAATATAAGGATGAAACTTTTGAAAACTTCAAAAGTGGGAAGACTCTGGTCGAAAATCAAACTAGTAGGAAGGTCAAGAGTTTTAGAACCGACATTGGTCTTGAATTTTTTAATGAGGCTTTCAACCGCTATTTCTTGCATTTGGTATTGTAAGGCATATAACTACTGCATATACTCCCTAACAAAATGGTTTAACTGAAAGGTTTAATCGAACCATTCTGGAAAGAGTGAGGTGCATGTTGGTTAGTGCGGGATTAAAGAAGGTATTTTGGGCTAAGGCTGTTATGACTGCAGCTTACTTGATAAATAGGTGTCACTCAACTGCTTTGAGGATGAAGGCACCTGAAGATGTTTGGTCAGGTCATCCACTAGACCTCAAAAAACTTAGAGTATTCGGCTATTTAGCCTATGCTCACATTAGGCAACACAATGTTGAACCTAGAGCTCTGAAATATATGTTTCTTGGATACACTGAAGGATTCAAAGCTTATAGATTGTGGTGCCTAGAGCCAGGTTACATGAGGTGTATCATAAGTCGAGATGTAGTTTTCAATGAAGCTAAAATGGATTTCAAGAAAATTGATGACGTTGGTCGAAGTACAAAGATCTCTGTAGAAGAGTTGGAACTGGAAGAGATTCCTATTAAGGTGAAGCATAGTGATGTTGAATTGTATAACCTAGATGAATTTGTAGAAGAAGCACAAGGTGCTGATGAAGATGAGGAAACTGATAATGACTACCATCTGGCAAGAGACAGGCCGAGAAGAATTATCAAGTCACCTCAGAGACTTGGTTATGCAGATCTCATAGCATTCACCTTGATATCTACGAGTGAGGTTCTTGATGAAGAACCTAGAGACTACAAGGAAGCTCTGAGGAGTCAAAATGATATTAGATGACTGAAAGCCATGGATGATGAGATGAAATCTCCTCATGATAATAACACTTGGGAGCTGATCAAGAAACCTGTTGGATCCAGGTTTGTCAACTATAAAGGTTAAGGAGGGAATCAAAGGAGTGATATTGAAGAGATTTAAGGCAAGGTTGGTTACTAGGGAGTTCACTCGGAAAGAAGGTATCAACTTCAATTATGTATTATCACATGTTGGAAAGCATAGATTCATTAGAATGTTGTTAACCATGGTGGCAAAGTTTGACCTAGAACATGAATAGATGAATGTGAAGACAACCTAATCCTAATGAGGCAACTTGGAGGGTATGTATAAAAAGGAAAGGAATATTATATGAACGAGCTGAGTAGGTCATTCTATGGCCTGAAACAATCTTCTTGGCAATGGAATGGGAGATTCGACAAGTTCATGGCACACATAAGTTTCCCCAGGAGCCAATTCGACCACTGTGTTTACTTTAGATTTCAGCCTGGAAATTCACTTGTTATTTTGTTTCTATATGTGAATGACATCCTCATAGCAAGCAACAATGTGGATGATGTTATGAAGGTAAAGGTTGAACTCCATAAGGAGTTCGATATGAACGATCTAGGAGCTGCCTCCAGAATTCTTAGGATTAACATCTGGAGAGATATAAAGAAGTCGAGATTATGCTTATCTCAAGAGACATACCTACTAAATACTCTCGAAAAGTTTGGTATGTCGAATTCAAATCCTGTTGTAACACCGACTAACCCTCAGTTCATGTTAAGTACAA